TAAAAAGGATTTTTCGTTTTTAATAATGCCAGCAATTAGACGTACAGGCTTAAGTCGCAAAACTCACAATTCTGCAAGTCACAGATATAGAAGAGCACGTCAAACCGACGAGCAACGTGAAGCGAGGAATGAAGTTGAACGGAATCGATGGAATCGAAATCAACAACATTGAAATGTTGCTTTGGACCCCTATCGAGCTCCATTCAACTATAACGTGGTAGTAGATTACAGTTCACAGCAAAATGACAAATGACAATGACAATGCTATTGGACAAATGAACGTTGTGTGCCAATACTGCAAGGCATTTAAGTTTAACGAGAAGGAACGTGTGAGTCGCTTCTAAAGACGCGACTCTACTTATACCCGTACTCAGTCAGTATTTACATTTTTGAACATATGATTTTTTAGAATTTTAGCATTAAAAAAAAAAATTTTACATGTTACATTTTTTTGCTACATCTGTTATCTACATATACATATATTATGTATATTATACATCTAACATGTAGATTATACATGTACCATTTAGATTCTACATCTCCTCCGTTAGGGGTTGCTCGCGCACTGAACGCGGCAGAGTGTGCGAGCGAGATGGAAAATGAGTTGTGTTGTCGGTGGCTGGAGTGGGCAGGGGAAGCAACTGAAAATTAATTTCGTCATTCTGGCAATAATTATGATCCGATCTGATTCAGATTCAGCAGTCTGGTAGATATGGGCATTATCTACGATACTGCGTATCGTATCTTTAAAATTGTGCCTGCCACAGATTTTCGTCCTTTGTGGTGGCGGAAGGGGGCGAAATTTTGAAATAAACTTGTAGCAGTGTGATATCACATGAGTCTGGAAACCAAATTTGGTTTCTGTAGCTCTTATAGTCTCTGAGATCTAGGCGCTCATCAAGACGGACAGACGGACGGACAGACGGACATGGCTATATCGACTCGGCTATTGATACTTTATGGGGTCGGAAACGTTTCCTTCTCTGCGTTGCACACATCTACTTTTACCACAATTACAATATACCCCTTAACTCTTTTTTGAGTACGGGTATAATTAGTTCAATGAATTATTATTCATACAGACTGATGATTCGGGAAAATGAGGACAATCATATATGAATATGTCGGCGTCTATTCCACCAATATGCTGTGGATATGTACGTGAAAGTTGAAACGGAGCGATTGACATTTATCAAGTTGAACCAGGCAAAACTGCGTTCTGAAGAATACATTCATCTTAGGGATGATATCAATGCTGACGGAAATGCACCGAATGTAGGTATAATAACTATTTTCCCAGCAACATATGTCGGAAGTCCGCGACATATGCATGAATACGCTCAGGATGCTATGTCGTATGTAAGTAATTATGGCACACCAGATTTGTTTACAACGTTAACATGCAATCTTAAGTGGACAGAAATTAGACAAGAATTATTTCATGGCCAATATCCCATTGATCGCCACGACATTACCGCAAGGGTGTTCAAAAGAAAGTTAAAATCACTCATGGATTACATTGTTAAGCATCGTGTATTCGCGTGTAAACGCGCTGTTGGATGTATTCAGTCGAATGGCGAAAACGCGGATTGCCACATGCACACATCCTCATTTGGTTGGTAGAGAAGATAAGACCGGATAAAATCGACGATGTGATATCTGCGGAAATTCCTAATAATGATGAAGATCCATTGTTATATGAGATTGTTACAAAAAATATGATTCATGGTCCCTGTGGAACATTAGTGGAAATGATGGTTACCCACTTTATCGCAGGCGATCCACTGACGACAACGGAGGGACAACAACAGTCAAAGTGAATCAGCATGACATTGAAGTTTATAATCGTTGGGTTGTTCCGCTTTCGCCGTTACTCTCCAAAGCATTTAAAGCACACGTAAATGTAGAATATTGTCATTCCGTAAAATCAATCAAATATATCTGCAAGTACGTGAACAAAGGTAGTGACATGGCTATGTTCGGAGTTGCTGCCGAAAATTCAAACGATGAGATAACTCATTTTCAAATGGGACGCTATATCAGTAGTAATGAGGCGATGTGGCGTATTTTTCATTTCCAATACATGAAAGATACCCCACTGTTGTGCATTTGGCCGTACATCTGGAAAATGGTAAAAGGGTGTACTTTACAACGATAAACGTATTACAACGAATTGAGAGGCCGCCATCGACAACATTGAACAGCTTCATTGAATTGTGCCAGAATGATGACTTTACAAGAACACTTAAATTTCCGAAATGCCACGTTATTATACCTGGAATCAATCATTAAAGAAATTTCAACGACGAAAACAAGGACAGCCAGTTCCAAATTACCAACAAGGATTTTCCACAGATGCACTAGGACGTCTTTACAGAGTGCATCCCAGCCAAGACGAGTGTTTTTATTTTCGTTTACTGTTAGTCAATAATCGTGGCCGAACATCATTCCAACATCTGCAAACTGTTAATGGTGTATTGTGCGGCACATACAGAGAAGCATGTCAACGTAGGGGACTGCTCGAAAATGACACTCATTGGGACCACACTCTCGAAGATGCTGTGATATCGTGAAATTCTAAACAATCACGAACATTGCTTGCCATACTTTTGTCTACATGCTTCCCATCAACACCGTTTAATTTATGGAACTAATATAAAGATCACATATATTACATCAGGAGCGTGTTAGAACCCTAAATGATAATTTGCAAATAAATTAAGAAATGTACAATAAAGCATTAGTTTTAATTGAAGACATGTGCTTGATGCTTGCCAACAAAGTATTAATACATTTAGGAATGACAGCGCCCAATCGCCAAATGCACGACGCATTTAATCAAGAGTTGATTAAACGAAACGAAATATGAAGAAACGTTCCCCTTTTAAATGAGCAACAAAAATATGTCTACGGTACGCTAATGACAGTAGTGAACGATGGAACTGGCGGATTTTTTTTTATATGTTACCGGTGGGACTGAGAAAACGTTTTTGATATCATTGATTTTGGCAACGACTCGATCGCAAAATGGTATCGCACTTGCACTTGCTTCGTAAGGTATTGCAGCTATGTTGTTGGAAGGCAGTCGAACAGCTCATTCCACACTCAAGTTGTCGTTGAACATGCAAATAAATGAAACACCAACTTGCAACCTTTCAAGAAATTCCGCGCTGGCCAAAGTATTGCAACAGAGCAAATTAATAGTTTGGGATGAGTGCACACAAAAAATCATTGGAAGCATTAGACCTCACGTTGCACGTTTCCGAAAGAATCAAACCCGGTTTGGTGGTGCACTGATTTTATTAGCAGGAGATTTTCGCCAAACACTACCAGTAATTCCACGATCAACACCAGCCGACGAAATTAACGCATGTTTTAAGTCATCTGTTTTATGGAAAGGCGTTAAATCGCTCAAATTAAATATAAACATACGAGTCGAATTGCAGAACGAGCAATCTGGAGAAGTTTTTTCCAGACAATTGCTAGATATTGGTAATGGAAAAATACCTGTTGACTCAGTGTCTGGATACATCACATTTCCTACCAATTTTTGTACCTTTACTGAAACAAAGACACTACTCATCGAGAAGGTTTTCCCAAACATTGCTCAAAATTTAAAAAATCACGTGTGGTTGATCGAAAGAGTTATATTGGCTGCAAAAAACGTTGATGTTAACGAAATGAATTTTCAGATTCAAAAAAATATAGCTGGCGAATTAATAACATAAAAACCGATTGATTCCGTTACTAACCCAGATGATGTTGTCAACTATCCAACGGAGTTCTTAAATTCGATGGAATTGCCCGGGCTACCACCTCAAAATCTGCAACTAAAGATCGGATCGGTAATCGGTAATTATTATGTTGTGGAATATAAGCCAGCCACTTCTTTGTAATGGTACCCGAATTGCGGTGAAGAAATTAATGAACAACGTCATCGAAGCCCCACGGATTCCTTTGATTTCGAACGACATGCCATTCGACTTTAAACGGTTACAGTTTCCAGTGAGGCTAGCATTTGCAATGTCGATAAATAAATCTCAAGGGCAGTCGCTAATTTTTTGTGGCATTCATCTTGAAAATCAATGTTTTTCGCATGGCCAGTTATATGCCGCCTGTTCCCGAGTCGGAGTACCAACCAAACTATTTATATACGCGCCAGAAAAAAAACAAAGAATGTTGTTTATCATAAAGCATTACAATAATAAACACTTTCTTTCTGAAATATTTTTTAGTTAATTATACCAATTCGAAATCAATATTTTTAGTTAAGACAGCACAACGTCTGTCGGGTCCGCTAGAAATGATTTCCATGTGGAACAAACGGATAAAAAGGCGCAGCTGAAAAATTAGTTTACTGTCGGAAAATCGACAGACGGGTCGAGACGAAGAATGGATTCGATGGATTCGATGGATTCCATTATTAAAGATCAAATCGCTGGAGATCATTCATACAATAAATCGCAAAGCCAATCTTTGATAGTCTGTTGGATTAATCAATGTGGAGTTTATCTGAAGGCGTTGAAATGGGGCGATACAACGTTCGCCGGGTCCGCAGGTATAATATAATAATTATAATAAACTACTATCGTACCCTAACCACCGTGTCCAGAATTCTAACCCAAGTAGGGAACAGAACGCGAATACACGTTATCACCTACCATCAATATTTATTTTATAAAATTGGGGTCCGCTCTAGGTAATATTATAATAAATTATAACATAATACGAATACTGTAAAATAGGAAAATAGATTGATTTGTAATCTTTTTGCAGTCTTTTAAGCAGAGAATGCTTAAGAAATAATATGCGTTACAAAAATAAAAAATAAAAGTGCAAATAATAAAAAAGGGCTTTAATATGCTGTTATACAAAGCAGCGTATTAAAACTTTTCTTGGCTCTAGGGTCTGTATCACTTTCGTAGTTCAAATTATTGGATTTTACTATTAAGTCAATTAAAGCCAAGAATAGTCTAAGTAGACCGAGAAAACTGTTTGCAGGAGCTGGCGATTCATATTTATGTTAATTTTTACAGATTTGCATGGTTATAAGACAGTTTTTTATATATATGTTATGTGACTTGCTTATATAAAGCCATTCGTACTTTTCGCAATTTAAGTGATAGTCGAGAGCGTTGTCAGTTGGATTGTTTTTGTTGACGGTGACGCCATCGGCGATGGTGTCGGAACGAATAGGCTAGAAGATGCAGTTTCTGTTGTCAAGCTTCGCTCTTCATAAACCCCGGCGCGTTCCTGCTGATTATATATTTCAGATTACATATACAAACATTTATATATATCTTACATTAGATTTATCGTATTTAAATCTTTTCCAAATATTCGTTTTTGGTTCCATTGGTGTACCATCGACGTTGTAATTCGGATTTGAAAATGTTAGTACAGATCTACTAGAACCGCGAGTGTTACGCTTCTTTTTTTTCCGGTTTGTGTTGAAAGCAAGCACTAAAAATATTATTAATGTTCAATATAACACAAAACTATTTAAACAATTAATAGAGGGAGCCTTACTGAAAATTATAAGTATTATTATAACAACCATAATAATGACCACTCCTAGCGCAACGAGAACAAGGAACTCCCGCTCGCTATCAATTTTACGATTGTTATCTTGTTCATCTTCCGTATTTAAGTCACCAAACTGTTTTGGCGGAGAATCATCGGTGAGTTCCTCTGAGTATTCAGACTGTTGATCGTTATCCAATCGTGCATGAAACAACACCTTTGGCCTGGTGGAACATACGGGTTCATTTGGATCGGACCGGTCGGGGCAGGCGCAAACATAATCAACTGCTCGATATAAACATAGATGCGAACAACCACCATTTTCCTGAGCACAGTGATTCCAACTTTTACCCTGGCGGTGCAAAGAGACGGCGCGTATGTCCAATGCACCACTTAGACCATCACGCACTTTAATGTAGCCGCTCCGTGGTACACTCTGTGAACGGTACACCGACTTATTGTACCAATCCGTCCAAAAGATATTACCGTCAAACTTAACAAAAAAATAGATTTCTTGTTATAAGTAACTGTACGTTACAAATTCCTTCTTACCATGGTTAAACCAAATGGGTGCGGTGCGTACTGTACAATAGTCTGACGGCGCTTGCCATTAAAGTCAACTTGGCCAATATTGTCTTCCAAAGCGTCAGCCCAAAGAAGACGACGGTTTCTATGTTAAATTAATGATCTCGTTAATAGTATATTTTAGTTATTAGGCTTGCCTGTAGTAAGCTCACTCAAAATCAATTGTAAGGCCTGTTGGAAAGCCAATTCCGGAAGTCACAATTACCGTACGGTTGGTACCATCTAAGTAGCTCCGTTCAATTTTAGCAGGTGAGCTCCAATCTGTCCAAAACAGAAAGCTAAGAGTAAAAAATGTAATTATTACTCCTGACCTATAATGGCTTATGCATGCATACATACGCTTTTTTCGGATGGACAATGAGTGACCGCGGATCACCCAGGTCATCTTCGATTATTCTTTTACGGCAGCTGCCATCAATCCGTGCAACTTCGATCAGCTTACGATCAGTATCGGACCAGTATAGATTTTCAGCAATCCAGTCAACAGCTATACCATTGGGTGTTAGAACGTCTGTGCTCACTATAACCTTACTATCAGTAAAGTTTAACAGATTAACTCTCCGTATAACGTCTAAATTCACATCGGCAAAGAAAAGAAAATTTTTCCGGTAGAGGTAATCGAGGACAACAGCTCCATGCACTCCATTTATAGGCAATACCACGTCCATGTAGTCCCCAGTGTTTAATGAAATCATTCCAATTCCAGAACGCAGCGCTATGAGGAGGTAGTCCTGTAAAAAATGAATAGCTTACTTTTAATGAATCATCTTCATTCGACTGATCAATGCTTACGTCAGGAAGACTCTGACACTGTTTTGTACTGTTTTCTTGCAACCGCAATCCAATGGGGCATTGACACGTGTAGCTTGATGGACTTCGTAAACAAAGGTGCGAACATCCACCATTATTGAGTCCACACACGTTTTTTGTCATAGGTTGATGCTTGTAAATTACTTTAATATCCATAAGTCCATCAATGTTATTCATTACATCATGCTTTGCGGTTATGTTTCGCCTTTCAGTCATGTGTAAAGCTTTTGACTTCCAGTCTGTCCAATAAATGTGTTCTTCAGTGAGAGCCAATGCATAAGGATGGTGTAAGGAGGACATAATTAGCTTGCGCTGGTTCCCTGTGTAGTCACAGGAGTCAATAGTCTTGAGACGGGCATCCACCCAGTAAATGCGCTTGCTTTTTAAATCAAGGGATAGGCCATTTGGCCATCCGAGGTTGGCAGTAACAATTCGTGATCGTTCATTACCATCTAAATGAGATCGCTCGATCTTACGATAATGCCCCCAATCAGTCCAAAATAAGAGACCAGCTTCATAATCAAGAGCGAGACCTCGTGGAGACTCGAGATCCTTGTAGGCTATAATATGCCGGTTACTGCCATCAAGACTTGCCACTTCGATAGTGTGGCGTCCTGCATCGGCCCAATAAATTGTACGACCAACAGAATCAACCACTAAGCCATCAGGATTATCCAAGCTGTCTCCAACCACTTTATGAACGTGCAGGCCATCGGGACTTGAACACATTATGACATTCTCGATAGTGTCAGACCAAAAAATGTTTCCCGTATCTCTGTCAACATCCAAAGCAACCGCATTGGATATTGGGGGAAGAGGCAGAACCACGTCAATCAAGTGGTCAAAGTCTAAGGATATTTGCCGGATATCAATTCTATGAGCAAAAATGATGTATTTGGTAGGACCTTCGGAACATGTTCGCTTATCTTCCTTAAGCTGAACTCCAACAGCACAAGCACAAGTGTAGTTTGTCGGATTCAGTAGACATAAGTGCGAACAGCCACCATTATCTTTGTCACAAGCATTAAATGCCCGCCTTCGAGTGCGATGAAAAACACGTACGTCCATTAGATCACTGGTATTTGCGATTATTATGCTGCTATCTTTTCCGGTCAGTTTATCCGCACTCATTACAGATTTAGTATCCCAATCGGTCCAGTACACACGGCCATCACTCACATCTAGTCCAAACGGATGTTTGAGTCCATCTATTAAAAAATACGATTTTATCTAATGCATAGGAATAAATTGTTGTTTACTCACTTATAACTACTCGACGGTCGCTGCCATTGAAATTCATATACTCCAAAGTCTTCGTTCCGCCATCAACGAAATACAATTTACTTTTATCGAAGTCAATGGCTAATCCATTCGGATAAATAAGTCTTTTTGAAGATATAATAACGCGATCATGACCATCCATATTCGAACGTTCAATCATTGGCTCTTCTCCCCAATCGGACCAAAACATAAGGCCATCTTTATAGTGAAATAAATCATTTAAAAGGTGTTGTTAGACATTATTAGACACCACCCCACATATATAAAAATGATGTCCGTCCGGGGAAACTTACTGTAAATCTACTAGGTGTAAGTCGAAATTCAAAAGTAGGTTTTATTATTCCTATTCTGGTGCTGGAGGTTCCAATTTACAGCCACTATTATTGTTTTAAAAATCTAGCCAATATTTTGGTTTCTAAATTTAAATTGAAGCATAGTTGCTCGTTTTTTCAAAACGTTGCGAAAATCATAAATTTGGAATTACTTAAATTGTGGAGCTATTGAGCTTCTTCAATAGCATAGTTTTAGATCGTAAATTATTTGAAGCTAAGACACCGTTTATTGGATTACGTAAAGTATTTTTACTTTATTTTTCGTCAGGTATATACAAAAATCGTCTAATACTTATAACCGACCTTTTCTGAAAGATTTGCGACTTTAATTTCTTTTAGAAGAATATTTTTTTTTTTTTGCAGCAGAACTTTTTTTTAACTTTTTTTTTACGCATTTTTCAGATGTAGCGCTTCTATTTCTTAAAAGCTATTAAATGCAATTATCAATAAAAACTAAGCAACTAAAACTAAAGTACGAATTATTAAGCTTTCAAATGAAAAAGTGATAATTATTGTGAGGTATATTTTATTTTTCAAAACTTTTTTTTAAAGACTCAAAAAAAAAGTCGAAAAAAATTATATGCTGTATCTTTAAATTGTTGACCCTCTGGGCCAACAATGGAGCGGACGAAGGATAAAGCAAGGGTTGGGATGTCAACCCAAACGTCGGTGGAAAGCGTGGCTGCTACCACCGGCGGGCACGGGAGGAGCAATCCTCTCTGCGTGTCGCCAGCGGCCACACCTCTGATAGGACGGGAGCAGGTCATATCAGTTGCAATGCAACTGCCACAAAAACGACTCATTCCAAGTTGAGTCGCACAGGGGCCGTGGTCGATACAGACTCGGACCTGGAGAGCGTGCTCTCTGTAACCAAGACGGAGGAAGACAGCCTTCTCCGCTCCCCGGAACCAGGTTCCAGCTCCCTGCGTAGGGAAGGGCCGAAGCGTTCCAAGGAGGGGTTGAAGGCGAAGGCACATTACAAAGCGGCCTTCAAGATCATGGGACGGCTCCAGGGCAGGAAGGACCTCTCTGAGGAGGAGAAGGCCAAAATGACCTGGGCCGAGCAACGGATAAAAGAGGGACGGCTGCACTTCTCGCAGATGCCGCAGATGAAGGCATCGACGGAAGGATTTGCCAACAAGGTGGAGGAGAGTCTCGCCACCAAAAGGCAACGCTCGACCGAGAGTGCCATCAAGGACACTCCGGTGAGTAAGCGGCAACGCGGGCCCAAGGTGGCAGGCCCCACACCCAAACAGGCGAAGCGATCCCAAAAAGCGAAGGTCAGTGAGGTGACCAAACGACACTTAATCGTGGCACTCATTGACCGGAGCGACGAGAACGGCAAAATAACGGCGGCGCGGTGGAAGACGGTGCACGCGCGGCTCGTGGATGTGCTGTTCACTCGAATGGAGGAGGACCCAAAAGCAGCTGGACTAGACGGAATATTCCCAGCCATGCTACAGGTGACCAAAAATGTGAACACCCCATGGCTCTCTGCAATATACTCAGCTTGCCTGAGCACGGGCTATATCCCTATTCAATGGTGGACCTCGAGGATTGTCTTCCTTCCAAAGGCAGGAAATTTCAGCCATATGAGCTCAAGGGTTGTAGACCGATTAGCCTCACCTCTTTTCTACTCAAAACTCTAGAAAAGCTGCTGGATCTACACATCAGGAACAATGTAGGGGGACAGATGTCAACCAACCAGCACGAATACACCAAAGGGAAATCGGTAGAGACGGCACTGCATTCGCTAGTAGCCACCATCAAGAGGGCCCTTCATAATAAAAAGTGCGCTCTAGGAGTATTCGTAGACATATCCGGAGCATTCAATAACGTAAATTCGACTGCCTAGAAGTGACCAACACGCGTCCCGCAATCAACCTCTGGATAAAGAACCTTCTAAGTTGTAGACGGGTGTATTCAGAGTGGGGCACCGCTTCCATGGCGAAAGGGGCACACAGAGGCACACCTCAGGGTGTGGTCCTCTCGCCCCTCCTGTGGAACCTGGTGGTCGACGACTTAATAAAGAGATTCGAGAGGAGAGCCCCAAAAATAACAGCTTATGCAGATGACATAAGCATAATTATTACTGGAGCATGTCCATCGACTCTAAGCTCCATAATGGAATCAACACTCAGGGAGATATGTGAGTGGGCTGGAAAAGTAGGACTCAGTATCAACGCGGACAAGACGGACCTCATCCTCTTTACCAAGAGATACAAGGTACCGGCATGGATCCCCCCGAAAATGGATAAAACCAGGCGGACCCCGAAAGCAGAAGTCAAATACCTCGGCATAGTACTGGATAGCAAGCTGGCATGGAGGCCCAATGTAGTGGAAAGGGTGAAGAAGGCCACCATAGCGCTATATGCATCCAAGAAAATGCTTAGCAGTACATGGGGCCTGTCACCTGCTCTAATGACCTGCATCTACATCTCGGTGGTGCGACCGACTCTGCTGTATGGAGTCTTAGTGTGGTGGCAAGCGACATGTATATCTGACTACATGATCCCCAAACTTGCCTGGATGTAAAGACAACCTCATTTATGGGACCCGACGACTGGAAAAAGGGGTCGGGATCAGACTCAACACCTCAACATCTACACCGACGGCTCCAAGATGGAAGGAGGAGTAAGAGCGGGCGAAGGTCAACGCCATACGGAAAGCGGCGGAGGCAGCTCAGTCCATCGATCGCTCACACTGCGTGGTAAACCTGTTCGTGGACAGCCAGGCGGCGATAAGATCCATGCAGTCGTCAGCAGTCAGTTCCAGAAACGTCCTGGCGCGTAGGAAGGCATTAGTCTACCTAAGCACGACAAAGTCAGTGCGGATCTATTGGGTTCCCAGCCACAAGGGCATCGAAGGTAACGAGACAGCGGATGTACTGGCTAAGGAAGGCGTCGGGCTGGCCATGGACAGAACCGAGAACGTGCCTGTCTCCCTTAGAACGCTACAAAGCGATCTGGAGAAACGAGCGGACACGAAGGCCAGAAGCAGGTGGAAGAGTACCACCACCTGCAGAATCTCGAAAACCACGTGCAAGGAGCGCAATGGTAAACTTATCCACTACTTACTGCACCTGCCACGGAAGGACTGCAGAATGTTAGTGGGAATACTCACAGTTCACTGTCTGACTGCAGCACACGCAGTTAAACTAGGCATCACCAACAGTGGTAAGTGCAGGAAATGCGATGAAGAAGGGGCTATCGAAACCCTGGAACACCTCATATGCAGCTGCCCGGCGCTATCAAGGGTAAGGAGAAAATACCTGGGTACCCCGGTGATGGCATCACTGGAAGAGGCCTCTATAAAGACACCAGGGGAACTACTTGCCTTCGAGAAAAACACCTCGATCCTCAAGGACTTTGAAACCTCACAACAATGAAGAAGGTTCATGCACCCCCCCATCCGGACAACTAAGGGCCATATCGGCCTATGCGTAGCCCCGTGAGGGCCGTCCGGGTCAACATAAACTAACCTAACCTTTAAATTGTTGTATAGGTACTTTAAATAGCTTTCGTATAAGGTATCGCTTACTTGATATGTACTTCCAGAGACTCAAAAAAGGGGCATTTATTTTTAAATTCTCATGTTTTTAACGCCTTTTCCGTAATTTTGACCAAACGAAAGAAAAAATGTAATTTAAATAGAAAAACGACTTAATAACCAAAACTAAATATTTTCCAATAAGTAAATTTGATTCCTATTAACTTATAACAAAATCAATATATGTAAATGCAACTTTCTTTTTTATACCCGTACTCAAAAAAGAGTTAAGGGGTATATTAAATTTGTGGTAAAAGTGGATGTGTGTAACACAGAGAAGGAAACACTTCCGACCCCATAAAGTAGATATATTCTTGATCAGCATCAATAGCCATGTAGCCATGTCTGTCCGCCGTCTGTCTGTCTGTCTGTCTGTCTGTCCGTCTTGTTGAGCGCCTCAGTATCTGAGATCTAGGCGCACAACAAGACGGACAGACAGACAGACATGGCTTTATCGACTCGGCTATCGATGCTGATCAAGAATATATATACTTTATGGAGTCGGAAACGTTTCCTTCTCTGCGTTACACACATCCACTTTTACCACAAATCTAATATACCCCTTAACTCTTTTTTGAGTACGGGTATAAAATCGCAGTATCGTAGAGAATGCCCATATCTTCCAGATTGCCGAATCTGACTCAGATCGGATCATAATTATAGCCAGAATGAAGAGATTCATTTTCAATTGCTTCCCCCCGCCTACTTCAGCAAGAGACCCGTTACTCATTCTCCTTCTCGCTCGCACACTCTGCCTCGTTATGTACGCGAGCGCACTCCAGCGGAGGAGATGTAGAATCTAATTGGTACATTTATAATCTACATGTAAGATGCACTACATAGTAGATGTAGATAACAGATGTATCAAAAAAATGTAATTTTTTTAAATTCTAAAAGACCATAAGCTCAAAAATGTATATACTGACTGAATACGGGTATAAGTAGAGTCGCGTTCCCAGAAGCGACTCACACGTTCCTTTTCGTTTTTGATACATCTGTCATCTTTATCTACAATGTAGATTCTACATTTTTCCACCAGAGGTCTCACACTGCGCGGCGCACAGTGTGGGAGCGAGAGAGAGAGAATCAGTTTCGCTGCAGCACTGGAAGGGGGAAACTTAGCCAACTTTTGCATTGTACTCACAACCATGCAGGTGCAAAATTAATGATTTCCCTTTTAAGGCAGCAGATTTGGGTAGTTAACACCCGAGAAGTATGGAGAAGAACACAATTCCTCAGTGTGCACTGTTTCCGGTACAAGTCCATCCTAATAGGACAGATCATAGAAAACCTGCCAGCTGATCGAGTGCGAAGAGC